CGAACAGTTCTTGGTGATCAGTGGTCCTCGGCCGCCGCTATCCCAGCGGTGGCCGGCCGATATGCATGGCCATAAAGGTGGCTGGCCATAACCGTGATCTTCAAACAATGGTGCGACAGGTCCAACAGAGTAAAAGGGATGGACTTACCTCAGCGTCCTCCCTGTTTCACCTATGCACCCCAAACGTTAATTCTTCTATTATGGTGTAAAAGTAGCACAAAAAAAAAAAACGAGAACCAGAAAGTGAACAGCAGAAGCGCTTACTCACCACTGAAAGCTTTATTGCTTCAACAGAAAATATAATTTTTCGATGGAGGCGAAAATGCTGTAGGCCCGTGTGCTCAGATTTGGGTGCACGTTTAAAAAACCCCAGGTGGTCAAAATTTCCGGAGCCCTCCACTACGGCGTGTCTCATAATCATATGGTGGTTTTGGGATGTTAGACCCCAGATATCAATCATAAATCAGATAATATATATATAATCAAAACGTGACGCTCGACTAAACCGGTGCATGCGTATCGTGGGTCGAGGCAAAAATAAAACAAAAACAAAACAAGAACACATCTCTTGCAGCACCGCCCCCTGCTTCCCCAACAACAGGCTACCACCTTTCCTTGAGTAGCATCACTTCCTTCTCCGATAAGGCAAAAGAACTATTGCTAACTGCAGGAGGGGCAGTTTTTGCTTTGGTTTTTCACTTTTGCCTCACCCACGATGCGCATTCACAGGTTTAGCCGAACGTCACGTTTTGGTTATATATATTTTCTGTTCGAGCAATAAAACTATCAGTTCTGAGTAACCGCGTGTCATCACTTTCTTGTCATCGTGTTTTTTTAGATGCGGAGCATCTTATACTCGCGCCTTGTAGTGCGCCGTCCGCGCCGTCCGCACCGCTTCTCGAACATTCGACAGCTGACGCGCGCGCATGCGCCGTCGCCCACTCTTCCACCATCTGTGCATCCCTTCCTCCTCTACACACCGCGCGCGCTTCACTCCTCCACCATCTGTGCACCCTTCCTCCTCTACACACCGCGTTCGACATCTACAATTCTCCTGATTCTCCAGTGGACGCGCATGTGGCGTCGCGCTTCGAGAACATTCAACAGCTGACAGTGCATGCGCCGTCGTGCTGTATATATACTCAAGGTCGGCGCTCGCTCGCTCAGTTGCCGCTCGTCGGTTGGTTTGTACGGCGCGTCGACGTCCAAGGTCGCGGTGAAATGAATTCCAACGAATCCACAAACACAATGATCGACGTCCCTTCGACCAGCGCCGCCCTTTCGCATACGTGTGTACGTGTTCACTCATTTAACACCCCCTCCTACAACCACGTTAACCAATTTAGCCATCGACCCAAGTAAGTCGCAATTTAACACCCCATTTCACAACCACGTTAACCAATTTAGCCATCGACCCAAGTAAGTCGCACTTTAACACCCCGTTAACCAATTATATGGTCCGCATCCTCCTCAGTGTTCCCCCGAGGGAAGCTGCGGGCAATTTTTTTTTTGCGCTACTTTTACGCCATGATGGATCAGTACCAACTCGCTCGCCTCTTCGTTTCGCTTCCTTCCCGTTTCCCGTATGGGATGTGCGACTTCGCGTGCACGATTTCAGGCGAGGTGACCAAAGAGGGAGTTCGTGACCAAGCGCAAGCCGTTTTTTTCGTGCGGTGATCTAATCCCGCCAGGTTTGACAAACCCTTTCGCTCGCTGCTCCCCGTGTACGTGTGTGTTCGGCGTGCCGGGGGCTGTTGCGTGTTCTGCTTCAATCGCCCTTCGATCATCGACAAGGGCGTGTCCACTGCGGACGCGTGGGGCCGCATCCCAGCCGGCCGCGGGCTCGGACGCGCAGGGCTGTGCCGCGCTGCGGTGCGAGGGCGCGCAGCCATAAAGGGTCCCGTTGCTGGGGCAACCTTCCCGTGCCCTTCGAAATCCCCGCTGTCGTCGTCGCAACATCCTGACATAGCGTGGGCCCGAACGACCTCGAAACGGACGACGCCGATCACCGTGCTTTCTTTATTCGGCCACCGATGTATGAAGTTGAAGTTTATTTCAGGCAAAAGCAAAAAAAAAAGAAAGAAGAAAGGTACAATTTGCCTAGGGGACCGGCGAAAAGGCATAAAAGCCTGACAAAGCGCCTGCCGCCTGTAAACCCCAAACCCACCAAAATAACACAGTGTAAAGAGCTCAGTGTAAAGTAAAGAGTCAATAAGAAATTAAGCAAAAATAAGTTTCTACATGCAAAACATCTACAGGAAAACATAAATGAGCGAAAAATTTGCGCAGGCAATGAAATCAATAAAGCGTATGCGTGTCCGACAAATGAAGCAAACTGTAGAGGGCATAAACAAACACTAATGTAAGACGTGTAAAATACCTGAATAAACTTTAAATTTGAATACAAGGTTTCAACAATCAAAAGACAACAACATCAATAAGGAATATGTTTGACCGATAAATGAAACACAGTTTGGATAACATAACCAAATGTTAATGTGATTTACACAAGAAAATACTTCAGGGAATATGAAACAAATATGGTGACGGTGATTACGTTTGTGTAAATAGGAAGTGTTCCTGTATCTTCTTTTTAAAAATGCCATATGCGACTCTATTGTCAATTAGAGAAGCTACAATCGGTTGTTCGTTCAGGAAATGCGAAATTTGATACAATAGTTTTTGTGTGCCGTAATTTGTACGTAGTTTCTCATATGTATACACCCTGTGCCGTAGGTTGTGACTGTGATCTCTCGGGAGATTCCTCTGATAAAACCCTGAGTGATCAGTTGGTACCTGTTTATAAATAAGCATTGCCAATTTTTGTGTACATGCGTGTACATGTGTACACGCGTGTACATGTACATGCGTGCAGGGCCGAGGGAAGTGGGAAAGCCTGCAGCGACGCCAGGTTGGCTGCTTCGCATACACTTTGCAGCTTCCCTTTCGCCATCTGCGTGGCGGCGAGATATGCGGAACACGCTCGTTAATTAGGTTTCCTTTTCGCCGCTGGGCTGGACCTCCGTATACGCTGACGATCTAACGTGGCTCGGGAGTATTTCCTCGGCCGAAATTATATGCACAACGTGGCACATGTTATACAGAGCAAAACGGTATAATAGCCGCGTTTGTTCGGTTGAATGTCATATACTGCTACACTCATCGAAGGGCCGCAGTTGCCCGGTTGTGGCGCCTATATAAATGACCCGTGAGACCTTCATCGAAGTAGTCGACGGGATATTCGATAAATGCTGCGCGCTTCTTATGCACTAACATCATTTATATACGAAATTTCCAATATGATGTGCCTGGCGATTTGACCATTCTCTCAGAATGTCGATTCGAATCCGCGTGGTGTATACATGCGTAAAGCGTGTTGGAGTCATTTCTAGGCGACTGCTAGTAAGTTACATGGAAGCTCGCACATCTACATATAAAAGTGGGTCCTATAGTACGTTTTTGACTCCGCAGGCACAGGAGGTGAGCCCCGCCAGGCTCCTGAAGCGAACCTTCTGCCAATGTTGTTGAGCATGAAGACGCACTCGCTTTGAATTTCAACGCGCACACACGGTACATATATGCACTCTGCCGCTGTGCACGCAGGTTTATTTGCTCCACTCGCTATACTGTGTGCGGTTTGCCATGTACCTTCTGGGTGGCTGAGTCGCGGCCTTTTTCGAATAGAGTGTATATATATATACGCCCGCGGGTCGCCATTTCGCGCGGCGCTCTTCTTTTAGGAACTTGTCACAAGTTCATCCGATAGAGTGCCAAGAAAAGCTTGACGCTTGGCACCGGCGTTAAGACACACGCAGTGGTGTGCGATCACTGCAAGGTCGCTTTGTTGATGGGCGTGGCGCTCTCAGCGGCTTCTACGGGGGGGGGGGGGGGGGGGGGGGGGGTCGAGGGTTTCATGCCGAGATTAGAAGCCGACTTGAACATACATTCCCCAGAGACAGAGCGATCGATCGGATGAAAATGTTGTGCCCTGACGTCAAGCGTATTTGTTAGGTGAGCTCGGCAGGGAGAATTCACCATTTAGCTTAATAATTAAATAAATAAATAAATAAATAAATAAATAAATAAATAAATAAATAAATAAATAAATAAATAAATAAAGCTCACGTAGTACCGGCTGAAAGCTTTCGCCTAAAAGAGAGCTCGAAGGTGAAAAACATGTTTGCTTTTTTTCCTCAGTCGATGTACTGATTCTCCCTCGCCTGCCCCCGAAAGATTTCTGCACATAACATTTTTTGCATTGTCTCCGGGATCGGAGGCATTGTGAGCTTTCTGCACCACTCCTGGTCTTGCACTGCCTCCATGATCGGCCCACTTTTGACCAAGCCACGATGTGTCACGTAATGACGTCATCATGTGACGCCGCAAAGTGTGGCTTCGTAGTGACGCCAGAAACGTATCGATCTGGGACGTTATCACGTGATGGTGACTTCGTGCATCAGTTGGATTGACTGACGCCGCCGATACTCTGCAACGCTGACCGTCGATTTTTGCGTTTAGTAAGACATGGGAAGCTTTAGCTTTAATGAATAAATTTCTGACGGCCATTCGCAGTAGTAAAACATTTTGACCCGAAAGTCGATGGGCGGTACCCTCACTGTGGGAGAGTCTCCGAGAACTTTCACGTGGTGGGGGCATGTCAAATGAATGCTTCCCTTCCCCCTGACCCTTCCCCAACTGGAGAGGCATGGGAGGCAGCCCTATACTCAATTGCTCAGGGCTGAAGGCTCAAAAAGCTCAATCAATCAATCAATCAATCAATCAATGTTTCTTTATTAGCATCAGAAGTGTACATTGTGAGTAAGTATGCAGGAGGAGGTCCCAAGGTAGTAAAACCGTAGGCGGGACCTCCTCCAACGGGCGCGGGTAGCGGCCTTGTCTAGCGGGGTCCCGGAATAAGGACTCCCCATGTGTAAAGGGTCCTTATGGGGCTGCGAACTCTCTATGAATAAATGTTTTTCACACGCACACACATATTGCAGGCGTCACTGGACCGTGGAGTGTGTCGACAGTGGTGCCGGACACGAGGAGCCGTGAGACGGACAATGCCGGCAACTGCGGCGGCCGGTCTCCTCGGGACGGGCTGGTCCGGGGGACCACCGGCGCTAGTAGGACCTCGCCACGTCTCGCCTCTCCGACCGCCGAACGGCACCTCGCCTCCCTGCTGCAGCAACTGCGGCGGGAACGGTGAGTGAATAGGTTGATTCGAGATTGCCCGACCGGTCTATCGATCGATCGAACAGTTAATCAATCAGTGCACCTCGTCTATCTTGAAGTAAGACGTGAAAGTTGCATGTATAAGAACTTAATTCAAGCACAATAAATTATAATTTTAGATGGTTATACCAATTCACAGTTTTCAGATTGATGCTACAGTGAAAGTATGGCCTATTTAGCTTAGATGCCTCTGGAAAGAGTGTACAGGCGGTTGCTTTAACAAAGAATTTGATAGTAAGCTTGATGATATTTCCCAGCTTTCCCAGCATTTTGTTTAATGACGGTATACTATAGACTTCGATATTACAGAAGAAATAACAATAGCAAGCTCTATAGTCGATTTGCAATTAATCTACTCTAATAGGGTTTTTATATATACGATTCAATTTTGCTTCCCAGTCGGATAGCTTCCTTGGTTTTTGGCGGATTTTGGCCGTTTTTATGCCTTCGGAGGATATCGAGGCAAAAGGCTAAAAGCTGTTCTTCGGCAGTTCAACGTTCGAATGGCCCAACACCTAAAAAGAGATATTCCTATATACTTAGCTGGTTGTAGTGCTCTATGAATAAAAGTAAGACGAAGAAGGTGGCGTTATTCAAATAAATCGGGCACTAACTATTTGGGTGGGATAAAGTGCATATCTTCGAGCGTCCTTGAAAGCAGCCTTTTGGTCTTATACCGTTCAATTGAATGGAACGATTCGAGGACAATAGTCCTGGCGATATCTACCTAGAATGCTCGATCCCTATGCTCCCTTGGATGCTTTTGGCGCTTTGCTGAGCGCATAACTAACCCGTGACCGCGTGGGCGTTTTCTTCCAACAGTGCACCTTACAGGCTCTATATATAGTTTACCGATGCACAGACATTACACGCACGGAACGGAACTAATCGTTGGACACTTCCGGAAAGATTGCCCCTTATAGAAAGAAAAAAAAGGGCGAAGTTTGCAACAAGCCGCACAAGGCTTATTTAAACAGCGAAACTGGACGATTCTGAAGACTAATCTACCAATAGATTCTATAGGTTGTTCATAGGGCTTATCTGTAGAATATTCAGGTTGTTTTTATATTGTTTCTACTCAGATCATTGCTAGGCTTTAGTTGGGTGATGCTTGTTGTTTATATGTATACGTTAATCTCCCAGCGTATAGATGTGGGACTTAAACTACATATATATAGTCACCAAGGGGCTAGTCAAGCTGCGTTTTTTATCGCAGCTTTTTCCCGCATTCCACACCACACATTGTAAGGTGTAACACTGTGGTGGTGAAATAAACTCCAAACTTCAAACTTCAAACCAATACCAAACGGATGTTGAAACGGCAGAGTCAGATACTAGCGCAGAGACTAAGCTTTCGCACCCCTCATAGGTGTATACGGGCATGTCGTCGGTGGCGTAGTCATTCCATATAGCATCGGAGTCTTCATGCAGCCGCCGTTGCCTCTGCATAGTTCCGCAGTGTTCTCGTTGTGCATTACTCGGGCTCTTAGGCTTGCCACCTTCGCAGTCACTGGTTGGTATAAAAGTTGCCTTCATTTATATAGAAAAACCATTGACTAGTCGTATTTAGCCAATTTTGTGGCACGTACCGTTTATTATGATGGTAGTTTCCTGATAGGTACAAGAATTAAAAAAATAGTATATGTCGATACGCTTATTTTCTGTGCAGTACCAGTGAATGAGCGCTGGCCACCACAATTAGTTGAACTATATATCGTCTGTACCTTGCAGAGTATAGGTACACTTTCTGGAAGAAAGATCACAATCCTTTCTATAACTTTCCTTCTATATAGTACACACTGCAAGCCTGCGTTACTTGTTTTTCGCCATTTTCTCTTCCGTATAATTTATATCTCAGTTGCTGCAAACCGGCAGATCTTGTTTATTGAATTTCCGTAGAAATAAAGGTTAATATGCCAGGTAGTATGTCTGCACTCGCTCCGACTTCCTGATTGTGCGTTTATTCTTCCTGTACATTCTCGCTATCACCCCTCTCGTTTTCGTTTTCGCTGCGTTGCCTAATAAGCTCCATCTTTGGGTCTTTTTTTTTCCCCTTCTTCTAATTTTTGCTCGAGTGGCTGCGATCTAAATACTCCTGGAAATACCGGAGTGTGTCAGGCTTAGTCCGCAGATCGCCGCCCGATTGCGACGCCACGCTGCGGAGAGAATGGACTACGGTCTAGCCGCGCAGTTGGAGCGGCTTAATTTATTACTTGCCTCGCGATAGCGAACGTGTTTTCGCTAGCGGTCTTGCATCCCCGTTCTTTTTTATATATAGATTGAAGAAAAATTATCGTTCACTTCGTTTAGGGGTGGGCTATATTGTCGCCACCGAAACTGGCTTAGCAGCCTGTCGCTCGCGGCCATTAGCGATATGGGCTCTTGTACGCACTTCTCGGAGCTCCTGTTCACACTGTGTAGTGGCATCGGATAAGCGCTTAGCGGGAGTTACTGCGTCGAAAAAAAAAAAAAGAACGAAATGAAAAAAACACCGCTACAGGAATCGCAGTTTGTGTGTGCGGTGTTACGGGGGACCGAAATTCTCGCGTTTTAACTTCTACGCGTACCAATACAATGATATGATTAGGTGGGACACCGTTAATGTGGGACATCGGATTAGTTTTGACCACGCCAGGTTCTTTAAACGTTCACCTAAATCTGATTAGTATATATACACGATTGCGTTCGGATTTCGTCTCAGTCGAAATGCGGCCGTTGTTGACTCCACTCGAACGCAAGATTGTCTGGTGACCCTGCACAAATGCGCGATATGCGCAAAACCACCGTGTTTGGAATTGATGGTGTTGTGTGATGCGTTTACTGGTTGACCCTAAACTGCATGACGGATGGGAAAGAAAATTGGAAAGATTAGTAGAGTCCCACTCCCTGCCTGATGGACTGCAAGCTACAGGCTTTACTTTAATATTCCAAAATATGCGTGCATTTTCCCTTTTTTAGTGTTTTAGTGATACGAGGAGTGAATTGAAAAACAAAAACAAAAACAAGGTGAGTAAATTTGCGGGAAACAGACCATTTGGGTGTGGCATTACCTATATCTTAATTTTTTATTTCTTTTATGCGATGCAGACTTGGCATAAGGTAAGTACAATAGCTATATGTTATTCGACTAACAGGGCTGGTATTTGCTGTAAGATAATTGAAGGTAATGTTATTATCATTACATTTAATTCAATTACCTTCCTACCTATACCAGCCCTATTAGTCGAATTCACATTAGCCAGCAGAGCTTACCCAAGCGTAAAGCTAACACGCTTTCCCAAATTACTTTCTTGAAATCGCCACTTAATGTTAGTACCGCTATATCACGACTCGCTTAAATTGACGCGACATTCGAAGGTAATACGCTTTCGCACGCTCTGTTACGACGCCCCATCGAGGGAAGACTATGGCCGCCATCTATGTTATTTAGGCAACGCATGGGTCGAAAGGAGTTCATCATCATTATCGTCATTATGATAATCATCGTCAGCAGTCCGGTTCGCAACGCGCTCCCATCTGACCGCGGTTGGTGGCGTGGGAGGCGATTCACACTTGGAGAGGACTTCCTTTATTCGCAACACCGAACGTGGCGGGGCGCCTCAGAACGGCCGGGCAGGCTTGGAGGCAGATGGTGTCCTCCGATATTGTGCATGCGTACGTGTTGGTGTGCTGCAACGTCGCCGCCCTGGCGGCCGTTCCACTTCGTCGAGCAGTCGCTTCACCAGCACTGGGAGATCCCCCCTTGTGCTGCGCCTCCCTATGCCGCTTGCCTCGCTTGCGGTCTTCTCGCTGTGAAGGCGACGCTATAGAGGGTTGTGGCGATGGTGTGGCAACCTTGTTGCTTGTATAGTATTTGCACACTCGCACTATCTAGACGGCCGCGGTTCGTTCGCCGTATTCGGCTGCGCCCGTGTCGCCGAGTGCGCTGTCGTGCTCTAGATCTGCGCAGTGCGCACAGTGACTCGGATGCAGCTGTGAGATCGCTCGTAAATGACACCCAAGTCGGGACGATGGTGCACGCCGCTGCTGCTTAGATGGAAGCGCGATAGCGAAAGGCACCTCTTGTTGATCTGATATACGTATTCTTGAGAGTGAAAACATCCCGCTTGGTTGAACTTGATGTATATTATGCATAGTATGTATGTTTGTTTCATAGTGCATATTTGTTGATGTAGCACTGTATATATTTCCTCATCTCGCTCACTTTGTTATTTATTACGTTCATGATCAATCTTAGTCCTCTGTTTTTGCGATTCCTGATTGCCCGTCCTGCTTGGACCACGTTTTGTAGTCTGCAGTATGAATAAATAAATAAAATAAAATATACGTGGAAGTGGAGCCCCCAGATGTCTGGCCGTATGAATATTTCTCCTATCCGTACGCGTCTTCACTAATGACGCTGAACAACACTTTGGGATAGCGAGAAGGGAAAAAGAAAACGCGTTTAAAGTTGCCTCTCTTCGAATTTTTACGACTTGCCTTGGAGCTCGGGAGAAGTCTGGTATCATGCCGCGTTTCTTCAACAGACCATCTTGGGGGCTCATTGGACGTCTACGATTGTATGATATAATGGCAGCAGTGTCTCTCTGGTTTTCGTGCTTTTTTTTTTTTTGTTTTCGCCGTTTTGCGCACCTTTAGCTGATAGTATACGCGTTTGTGGTGTGCCGGCTTCCGTTTGGTGTCCTTCTTTTTGGAATGAATACGTACCTGTTAGCTGCAGCTCTGTATTTGTGAGGTTCTAATGTGTGTTTTCAGCTGCGATTTGACGGAGCCAGTCACGCGATGACCGCGTGGTTCTCGAACGCAAATGTGACTGTTGCCATACTCTTGTGACTCAACAAAATATCACTTAGGGACCACAAATATCACTTTCAGCGTAAACTCTCGCTGAGCGCCGGTCATATTGCGCTGCTCATGGAAGGGCGCGGGAGGACTCGACGTCGTCGCTTCCTATACACGGAATGTGTACC